GATGCGTAGAAATATTTCTGATCGATAGGTGATAAAATGATTGAAATTGGTCCAGGGGCAGCTGAGTTATTAATGTTCAAAATCTTTCATAATTTTGTTTCATATTCCATTTTTGGTTTTCACAAAGTGTACCCCCAGATAGAAATGAAAGACGTAGTCCTACGTCAAAAGAGCATTACATATTTCATTGTATTGTACATACAAATTTTGATTGACTTTCAATGTTCAAGAGATTTCGTCATGCCAAATTCTCGAGTTCAACTATCAAACATTCAATTAAAAGAGACAATGTTTCAACCTAATCAGCCTTATCAGCTTTTGTTTTTGATTGACGGAGAGGCAGTTTGGATTCCGGAAAGGAAGATCAACGGTGGATGCAACCCGGACAATGGTCGAGAGAGCCGAGAAGGCGTCCAAACAGAAGCGAAGAGGAGATCGATATCGCGCCGTGATAACGATCGACGTCAAGAATGCGTTCAACAGCACAGCTGGAAAGCCATTGTCAAACCAAGTCCTGGTTCTGGTCTACGAGACAGACATGGGACAGAGATCGATTAGGATCACAGCGGGAGGTTCACAAGGCTCCATCCTTGGTCCAACGCACGCCTTTGCCTCGAAGCGCGTGTTGGAATACCTGGGAGTGATGATCGATGCCTCGTCGAATTTGGCTGTGAGAATGCTTCGAAGGCCATCAACACAATAGCTAGAATGGAGGTCCAGCCTGGTTTGCAGCACTGGAAACGAAGCAGACCCAAAGGAAACTGAGCAGTACGTTTCGGCTCATGGCCATGCGAGTCGTGAGTGCATTCATAACAATCTCATCGGAAGCAGTATGTGCTATCGCCGGGATGATCCCTATCGGTATCATCCGGCGGAGGACAGCGAGTGCTACAGTCGGAGATAAGCCGGTAGAGTACGGAAAGTGGTAAAAGCGGAGTCTGTGGCAAAATGGCAATAGGAGTGGAACACGGAGGATAACGGTAGATGGACACATCGGTTATTGCCGATTCTTTCGACCTAGGTTAACAGAAAACACGGAGAAGTCAACCACCACCTGACGTAGTTCCTGTCTGGCCACGCAGCGTTACCCCTCTGTCCGCAGTGTCTCAACGTGGATGAAACGCCGGAGCATGTGATCTTTAACTGTACAAGGTGCGAGACAGTGCGAAGGGAGATGCCTATCCTTAGCATGGAGAATTTCGCCAATGAAATGTGTCCAGAGGAAGGCCACCCACATTACATGCGTTTGCGTTGCGTTGACGTCAATTTGACAGTTAGATAATAGATTTAGCTGTCACTTTGCCGCAAAGCGTCCGATCCTGATCTAATGGGCGTGGGCCTTTAGAATGGAGAGATGAGCAGTGATCTAGCAACACCAGCTAGCACTGAGAGTATGAGAAGTACATGAGCACAGCCCCCTCGAAGTAGTCGCTTCACCGTGGTCCCGGGGGGATCCAGGCAAAGGAGAGAGTAAGGAATGGGTTTTAGTGGAGCTGAACTAGGCAACTAGTGGATACCGCCCCGTGCCAACTTCGATACAGTTCTGGTTTTTTTTACCGCCCCCACCTATTTTTTTCTGCTTTGAAATATGATACATATTTCATTATCGTCAAAGGAAAATTGATTCAATAATTCTAGTTATTTTATGGTTTAGAAGAGTTTTGACAAATAATAGCCATATGTAGGACAAGGAGGGGTAAAACGCACTCAGGTGTTTTATTACCAAAAGCGTTTTTTCTCGTACTATTGATAAATTGATACAAACAATTTCCCAGATGACTGTTCTGCAGCTCTTCTAGTGATTACGGGTGAAACTCCATTAAATTTGTTCTGCAAAACACGTAAATAAGCGCTGTTGGTCATATTATCCCATAGCACTCCTTACCCTATAAGAATCTATTCTGTAATAATTCTTGTAAAATTCCCGATTTTGTCAGTTTCCTGTTTTTGTCAGTCTAAAATTTGAGAAGGGGATGACAAAATCGGGAAAGCACTGTAGTCATATTTTCCTCTGACAGTGACATCATCTGAAAATCCAAATCTACTGCTCTTCGATTTAGATTTGTGAGTAAATCGTCTACCACTAATGACCAGAGAAGTGACTATAGAACACCCCCTTGTGGACATTAGACTGCCAGCGAAAATGGTAATTTTTAATTTCGCTAACAAACCATATACAAAATGTTTATTGCCTCGAAAAATGACCATATGCAAAATTTGAGCTCAATCGGGCATGATTTAGGGGTGGCGCAAACGCGTCAAAGTTTGACTTTTTTCACTCTCGAAAATCTCCCAAGAGTGGGGGGGGGGTACATGAAATTTCGGAAATCAAAATTTTTTTTGATGCCAAATGTCTTAAACATGCATGAAACGTCGAGATTTGCTGTTACCTCGGATTTTTTTTTTTTTTTTTTTTTGAAAAATCGACTTTCTGGGACTTAGATTTTTTTTCATGAGTTCTATATGGAATATAGAAGATTGATGAGTCGGCTTCTAAAACTGTGCACAATTGTCTCCAACCTGCTTATATATCGAATTAAACCACCATTTAGGATCTAATACGAAATAGTTCACTAGGGTGGTCCAATTATTCTTCATTAGGGTGGTTCAAAAATTCAAAAATATATGAAAAACCACAACTTTTCATCAGAAATTCCTAAAATCAATTGTAAAAATATCTTGAATTGCGTTAATCTGTTTTTTTTTTTGGGAATTATGAGTTTTACACAAGAGGAACATTTGCCTGAAAAGTTGAAAAAAATACTTGTTTTATACTTTGCCATATATTTCCTTATTAGCTACACCAAATCAGATTTCCTGCTACTCTTATAATTTTTTCGATGATCTTCAACTAATTGTAAAATGCACTGCTTTTGATCTTCATCTGTTGATAGTTTTGAATTGTATGTTTTAATCAATGCTATACCACGCTCTGCATTATCATTAACTACTTCCAAACATTGAACCCGTCTTTTGGCATTTTTAAACTCAATGGAACTACTCCACTGCTCCATATCGACATTCAGCAAAGACTTCGGAATTTGGAGAGCTTTGAATAAGTTTTCAATACCACTGCTGCCTTGTACAAACGAGTGTAGTTCAATCGTTGAAATATCGTTGGATTCCACAATGGATCTGGCTGTAATGTTTTTATGAGTATCTGTAAAAAACATCATTAGAAAATTAAATGCAAATGTATCAATTAAAGCATTTACCTTATAGAAGTAAGGCTTCAATGACCTTTTTCTTAACCGGGAGGTCTACATTTTCGTCGAACAGACATAGTCCGATAAGGCTGTTGTCCAAATATGTGAGTTTAAATTCCTTTATGTACTGCTTTCGCAACGTCTTCATCAACAGTTTCATATTCCTTCAATATTTTTAACAGGTTTAGATCATTGTTGGGTGCCATCACAGCACACGGAGAAAGAAACCATCTTTTCAAATAAATGTTTACAATGAACACACAAAATTGAGCTAGTTGATTTTTAGTTTTATCTGGTAAAGCGAATTCATGCCGAAGAATAAACATTTCCAAAGAATAAATGATTTTGGCCATCCACCTTGCATTGTGGAACGCACCAGGAACTCTTATTTGTGATTTTTCATCGATTTTTCCACCCAAATATAAAATGGCAAGTCGTAGAACCTCGCGGTAATCACCACGGTGGTGTTGCTCTCTAATTTGTTTTTCATAAAACTTCAATAACACCAATCTTTCTATTTCCGAAATAGCTATTTTAAAAAAATCATCATCCATACCTGAGTGGTATGAATTCTGGAGACAATTGTAAACAGTTTTAGAAGCCGACTCATCAATCTTCTATATTCCATATAGAACTCATGAAAAAATCCCAGAAAGTAGATTTTTGAAAAAAAAAAATTGGAGGTAACACCAAATCTCGATGTTTCATGCATTTTTAAGAAATTTGGCATCCAAATTTTTTTTTTTTTTTTGATTTCCGAAATTTCATGTAGGGGGGGGGGGGGGCTTGGGAGATTTTTGAGAGTGAAAAAAATCAAACTTTGACGCGTTTGCGCCTCCTCTAAATCATGCCCGATTGAGCTCAAATTTAGCATAGGGTCATTTTTCGAGGCAATAAACATTTTGTATATGGTTTGTTAGCGAAATTTGATGGTCAAATTTTTCCCATACATTCATTGGCAGTCTAGTGGACATCCTTTAACAGCGTCGTACTGATATAGATGAGCAACCAGCCACTCGGTTGACGTTTTGAGAGCATTCAACAAATCCATTTAACTATTCATGTATCAAAGATACGCTTCAGCGGTTTCTCAATGCGGGAACAAATGTCTTAAGCAACTCAGCAAAGGTGCGATCGGATCACCAACAATCAGCCGTATTTTGTCCGAACTCAATGGAACACTACTTGAACGCGCTCGCTGCACTACAGTAGGTTTTCATCGCCCCGGAACCGCGTTAACCATTCTGCCACAGCAGGTCACAAGTATACGAAAATTCCGATTTACCATACAATTCACACCAGTCCAAACTCTCTCACATTAAACCACAATTATAAGCTGCTTCAAAACAGCCGTAAATCCAAGCAACTTTACTTTAATCCCCTCTCGCTTGCCGTGGTGCCCACCACCACCCTCTCTGGCTGAACCGAATCCACCGTCATCATTCATTACCAACACACGACGCGACCGGGAGACGAGAACGACGACGACGATGCTCTACACAACACACACATACACTTGTCACCCTCCTGGACGTCTGGTACAAACACAACATAGCGGGACCACAGCGCCAAGTGTGTATATTATACGAATGCATGCATGAAAGATAATCCAGCTGTCAAAAAAGTGTACGAAAATATTTTCACCTCCCTCGGTTCGGTGTTGCGTGTGAATGACAGTCTCAGATGAAAATCCACACTTCAGCTTACCGAGCGGTCAATTGCCACCTACCCAACCCTTGCCCAGATCAAATTCCCTACTATGCCCCTGCCGGAATAGTTGCACCTTATCCTCACCTGGTTAGAATTGCTCTCTTTGATGAGATTTGTGGCCAGCTAAGCGCAGTTTCAACGATATGGATCCGAAAGGCCTCCGCAGAAAACGATGACCGCCGACAACCGTGTGTAGTCGTAGTTGTGTTCCTCAGCCAATTTTTCACGCACGGAATGTAGATTCCATTCCTTCCTCAAGCTCAGATGCTCCAACCGGGGTGCGCTACTGCACAGATCGACCACCGATTTTTTTCCCTCACTCAGCACACCTAAATCGGATTTTCGGGGTGTGGTACACCCGAAATTTTTCACGAAATGCCGTCACTTTTCACTTTCTCCAACCAACCTTTGACCGGGCTTCCACTCACAGTACCGGTAGCGATCTAGCTCGGTCCAAACGCACTTTTTTCTCCGTTTCTTCGAGGCGCAACCAGCCACCAGCCACCTCCAGCAGCTATTTTTCTGTGCCTTTTTTTCCCTTCCTTCACTTTTATTTCTGTACCGATACTCTTTGACTTGACTGGCTACCACAGCTCACTCACTCTACTCATCAACACACTTTGAACGGAACTGTGCACACGGATTTTGAACTGTGCTTCACGCCTTGATTCTCTCACTGTGCTGTGTTTTTTTCTTCACACCGTTCTCGCACTCTCTCGCTCTTCTTCAGCTGCTCGCTCACGCACTTGTGTGTTCTCTCCGGCTTCCGGCTCTCTGCTTTTAACTTTAGTTCTGTCCTCCTACACTACTCGGCTGAATGGATGCGTGTCACGCGCGCCGCGGCAAGCGGCGATGACGACGACGGTGGTACCGTAACGTGAGAAAATTACAACGACGATCTCACTTCGGATTCACAGGCAGCCTGTCGCTGTTTGGAAGGGAAAAAAAAAATATATGATACAATATGAATTCGATCTACGGAGCTGAATTTGCAGCAAGCAGAATGCTCTCTCGCTCTCTTGCAGCTTGTCTTAATGTTCTTCTCATCGATCTCTGTTCAATGGTGGAAACCGTCATGGTAGCAATTTATGGTTGGTCGGTGAATTAGTCGTTCGATGCAGGGTGACGACTCAAATTCGAAAAAAAAATCCCTGGCTTTCCCTGACTTTCCAGTCGGTTTTCAGAAAAATTCCAATCCACAAAACTCCGTTATTTTAACCTAAGAATCTACAACGTGATGTGTTTTATTATAACGCAGTGCAAATTAAGGTTAGTTTTAAATGAGAAGCAGGGTAAGCTTTTGAAAATATCAAGAATAGCATACTAATGGCACGTACAACAGAACATGATACTAATACAATTTTACAGAACATATGACCGACTACCTACAAAGGATGTGAATAGGCCTAGGGCTATAAATACATATTATAATATAATAATGAATAACTACTGCTCACAACTAGGCTTAAGTAATAATAAGAATATTTAATCAATGTCACCAAGCTCTCAATAAGTGTTCATAATTTCACAGCCAAATAAAAATCAACCCGTAGACGATCCTTTCTCTTAACATATAAATTATTATAAAATAACAGAGCAGTGATTATTCTTGCTTTGGCAACCGAACCTGAGGATGCACTGCTCATGCATTAGTCAGTTTCGTACTCTCTGGAACTCCATATGACAACCGCAGACATGGCAAAATAATTTAAGTTTAATTATCATTAACATTTTATTCTCTCAGTGAGTTAACATTACAACGAGAAATTGCAAGTTGAATATGTGTTTATTTTCGGATTACTTTAAAAAATATTTATGATGCGAGAAAATAAAGAAGAGTTTTCGAAGATCGATTCACTAGTGTGAGATTTGTTGAGCATCTAGAATTGAGATTTACATGTGTCGCCACCTCGATCCTCGATGGGTAAACTATTCCACAAATGGATTCGATTACACAACCAACAATATTTCTGAATACGACGACCAATTACCTGTGCCAAAAAACGTCCAGTCGTTCCTTTTTGCGATCATATTGATCAAATGTGCATTTACCTGTGCAATATTGTTCAGATTTTCAATATGAATGAACCTATTCATAATGCCTCTAACCATTTGACACAAAAAATGCACCATTCGCATAGAAATGGCTCAACTTCGACAGCAACTGATTTGCAGAAAGCTAGCTTAATACCACGTTCAGACTACAGAGTTATAACATTGAGTACTCACAAGAAGAGAAAATATGATTGGAAAGATAATAGGAGGTACCAAGATGCCGTAAGAGCAGGATAGTAAGGTAGTAGGAAAGTATGAGGAAGAACAACTCCAATGTAAGGGACCAGTGGGGGGATTCAAAATATAAGTATAAAAATGCATTTGTAGTTCGTTTTTTGGATTTGTTGGAACCTTTGCCCTTTAGTGTTTGTGCTTTTGTCCGCCTGTCGGTAATTTTTGCTCTACCGCTACAGGAGCTCTAGCAACATTCTTTCTCGACACGTCAGTTCGCAGTATGCAAAACTTTTTCAAAACAGCCCGTTTAGATGGTTTAAGACGTTTCAAATGAAAGTTTGACCATGGAGGGGAAGTTGGTATGACTGGAGTTATCTTCGGTACAAACTGATCGATTGTATAAACAACAATATTCGTAAAAATAGTCGGGGAAACATTTACGTCCCGATCACGCAGTTCTTCATCCCAAGCAGTCATTCCATCGAAGTCAACCTTCCAGTAGTCGTATGAAATGCTATCCATAGTGATACGAAAAGAAAATTCCTGGCCCAAATTCAATGATATCTGCAGAGGTGGATGAGCCTCCACATGAGCAAATAGAAGCAACCTCACGGCTAGGCTAAGAAAACATAAATCACGCAATCTGATTCTCATTGGAAACACTATTTAGTTGCAGGAGATCAGCAGTACTGTAGCTGTCCAGGAGAACTGCTGCCAAAGGTGCAATGTTCGAACAACTGGATTGAGGATGGAGGAACCCGGCGTCATTCAAGGACCATTTGATAGACGATAGATTGAAATCACCAATGACGAGGTTGCATTCATCTCGGATATGATCCAAAAGAGAGAATTTAAGGCTTGTACTCGAAAAAAATGCACCATTTTTATCCGTGTGTAACTTTTTTATCCGTGGGTAAAAATTAATGAACATCTGGGTTTAACTAGTTTGGAGTGAATTGTTTACATGTGCAAAATTTCATAACAATCGGTTCAGTAGTTATTGAGATGTCATCGAAACAAGAAGAAAATCGCCGGAGAATTTTGCGCGCCGTCATGGAAAATCCGACTGCGACTATGATGTGGATCGGAAGACAACTGGGAATCACCCATACAACTGTGTCTCGGGTGGTAAAATCGTTCAAGGAGTCCCAGACGACCGAGCGGCGGGCTGGAAGTGGAAGAAAATCGAAGATAGCTGACCCTGTGAAGGCCCGGAAGGTGTTGGATTATTTCAAGTGTAATCCTAACCTTTCGGTTTGCGACGCGGCTTTGAAGGCAAAGTGTTCCGCCTGGTTCGTTCAGCAAACCATGAAACGAGCTGGGCTTCGTGTATTCAAGGTCCGGAAGGCACCGAACCGGCGTGATAACCAAAACACGGCGGCCAAATCCCGCGCAAGGAAGCTGTATCGAGAGTGGTTAACGAAACCGATGTGTGTGGTTATGGATGACGAAACCTACATCAAGGCAGACGCAAAGCAGATACCTGGGCTGGAGTTCTACGTTGCCAAATCACGGTTTGATGTTCCGGAAGACATAAGGAAGAAGAAAGTGGACAAATTCGCCAAAAAATACTTGCTCTGACAGGCCATATGCCAATGCGGTAAACTGAGTAAACCGTACATCACAATGGGTACCATCAACAGCGAAATTTACCGCACCGAGTGCCTCCAGAAGTGTCTGTTGCCCTTCCTGCGGTCCCACGGAGGCGAGACATTATTTTGGCCGGACCTGGCATCATGCCATTACGCGCGATCGACGTTGGATTGGTACAGAGACAATAACGTTAATTTTGTACCAAAAACCGCCAACCCCCCAAATTCACCAGAGATTCGTCCGATGGAAAGATTTTGGGCCATAATAAAGGCCAAAGTTCGAAAATCATCCAAGGTGTTTAAGAACGAGCTGGAGTTGAAGAAAGAATGGATGAAAGTGACCAAAAAGGTCGGCTCCACCATTGCACAAAATGTAATTAGAGGTCTTAAGGGAAAGGTGCGGGTTTTCAGCGATGGAAAGGAAATTGAATAAAGTAATTATGCCAAAACATAATCCATATGTATTAGTTCATTCCCTAAAAGTTTCAAGAAAATCCGACTTAAAATAAATTTTTGGCGAACACTTTTGGTTGGTGCATTCAGTCGCGCACGGAACCCCTTTGGATAAGGTTGTGTTTGTTCTCTGTTTTGTGCGTGCGTTCGCCTTCATAGTTTTCGGCTGCATTTGCCGAATTAGCGCTGGCACTCTGCCTCCCGGACGGTTATACGTGTGTGAGTGGTAGTTTTCTCGCTTTCCGAGAAGTTTTAGAATCGAGAAAGAAAACATGATTCATGATGTTTGCAAAATAACAAGCATCAGAAGGTGTGGCGCTGCGTGGTTTGATTGTTTCTCCCGGACCAGAAATTTGTGGCATCGCGAGTGAAAATTTTAATTCCAGTTTATGTACGCGCTGCAAGGTGCGTGTAAAGCTTGGCACGATTGGTGTTGATGTTGGTACACTTGCAACTATTTTAGCAAAAAATAAAAAATAAATCAAAAGAAATTGATATCGAAAGTGTACCAAAAGTGCTTCTGAACGTGTTTCGCAGTTGGATGTGGTGAAATTCGTGGTTGTTTTCAGTGAAAATTCCGTAGCACAAATTTGCTCACCGAGTTCCCTTTTTTTTGCCGTTCGACGACATCGGGAATGCGCTCCCGGATATATTGATTTGGTGAGTACGTTCCAGTTGAGGATTGTTCTTGTACATTTCTCGATTGCATTTTCGAGGGGACGTGTCTGCTTTTGTGGGCAGTGCGTTTGATGGTCGGTTTGGTAGTATCCTTTTAAATATAATGTCTCATGTCCAAATAACCTCGATTTTCGGTCTATTGATTCAATACTTTAGTATTATATTTTCAAAACATACAATGATGCATTATGTCATTTCATGGCACATAAAACAAAAAGTGTGTGTATAGGACCCAATAATCTAGGTTATTTGTATTTTGTAAAACATCTTTATTTTTTGTTATATTTTATATTTTATTACATATTTTATATACATTATATATTACATGATTATATAAATTCATAATGTAAATTACAATAAATACTGGGACGGGAGGGAGCATCAGGGCATCATTGAAGTTGTAACTGGACAATGGAGTGGAGTGCCAACCGGAGTCTAGGAGGGAATGTGTACTGTCATTTTAGATAGTTACATTTCACTCCAACAGTTGCAATGAATTTGACGCGCTCTTCTTAAACAAATCATCCCGTGGAAAGCTTAACATGCATTGCGAATTTCGTTATTCATTTTGTTGGATCATATTGTTGGAAGGAGATTCTCTTATTCCCGCGGGTTTCGCGTAAGTGCCTCTGCTTACGGGCCCGTCCAACCCTTTTTGGCCCTTCATACAGCAGTATGTTGAATTCAGAATGATGACGGAATTTGATCTTGCTGTTGAGTGGAGCCGCATGCAGGGCAAGACCCAAGCTAGGATGGTGGCTACTTACATACATACATACATACAACACTTTTGGTTGGTGCATTTTTTTCGAGTACGGCCTTAAGTGTTGATCAATCAACTCGGAATCTCCGAGGCAGATACAGGACACAGACGAAAACCACTTTCGTTTGTAGAGAGATGGACACCCACAGTTGTTCGACACCAGTACAACTAGGTGGATGGCGCTGCCGAGGTTGAAAGGCTGACCGAACAGCA